GCAAGGGACAACCGACAACCACTAGGGGCCAAGGAGTGCATACCACTACGGGATTCACCCCAAATAAACCTGTCAGAGGGAACAATTTTCCGAAAGGGAAGAACCAGGGCACTCTAGGCTCTCTCTCTCTCTCTCTCCCCCGGGCATGAGGGTCGGTCAAGACCCCCGGGCCACAGGCCCACCCGCATTGTTTTAATGCAGGATAGGGGTGTGAAGAGCGAGCATAGGACTCCCATGATTTTGCACTCTAGGCTCTCTCTCTCTCTCTCTCTCTTTCGGCAATAGGTCTCGAGCCGAAACTTGAGCAATAGCAGTAGTAGTAGTAGCAGCAGCAGCAGCAGTAGCAAGAATAGCAGTAGTAGTAGCAGTAGCAGGAATAGTAGTGATAGCAAAAGTAGTAGTAGCAGTAGTAGTAGTAGTAGTAGTAGTAGTAGTAGTAGTAGTAGTAATAGCAGTAGTAGTAGTACTAGTAGTAGTTGTTGTTGGTTGCAATGGTAGCAGCCAACAGTATAAAAGGAAGCTAGAAATGGGAAGCAGCAAGCTGCGTAGCTGCAGCAGGAGAATTAGCATTGGCATTAATATTAGTATTCAGTTTAACACCAGCAATAGCATCAGCAGCAACATTAGTATTAGCATGTTTCAGTATTAGCATTACTATCAGCCATCGCATTATCAATAGTATTAATGTGAGTACGAGCATGAGTATTGGCAGTATTGGGATTCAAATTAATTTTTGTATTCGTAACTGTTGTAGTCTTAGTATTGGTGCATAAGGATCAGCATTACTATGAATGTTGGTATTAGCATTGAAACTGGCATATTATGCATTTGTATTGGTATGTCTTTTACAGGGTTAGAAGTTGTTTGTATTAGCATTAGTAGTCGTAGTGGTAGTGGTAGTAGTAGTAGTAGTAGTAGTAGTAGTAGTAGTAATAGCAATCGTGGTAGTAGTAGTAGTAGTAGTAGTAGTAGTAGTAGTAGCAGTAGTAGTAGTAGTAGTAGTAGCAGTAGCAGTAGCAGTAGCAGTAGCTGTAGCAGTAGCAGTAGCAGAAGCAGTAGCAATCGTAGTCATAGCAATCGTAAAGTAGTAGACGTTGTCGTCGTCGTCGCGGCCGTAGTCGTAGCCGCAGTCGTCGCAGCAGCAGCTGTTGTAGCTGTTGCCAGCACCCAACCAACTCTGAAAAGTATTGCACATCAACCAAATCGAAATGACACGTCCGGACGAAAGTGAACTCTTCAAACAAGCAGCTCCGTCATGGACCGTGGATGGCCACTCCCGACTTTGCTTCGCAACTTCGTCAGTGTGGAGTCCTTCATTCGGGGGCAAAAAGTCAGTAGAAGTTCAAGCAGAGGAACCAAAAGGAAGCAAAGGCGACTTTGGTTGCCACTTGGTTGCCTGAAAGGTTGCCGCGTCATCGTGCTTTCCCAGGGCACACAAAGACAGAGCCCAAGCGCTGCAGACAGCCAGGGTATCCATGTGGGACACGCCCTTTTTGCGATTGTATATTGTCTGAAGGTACTCGAAAAGCCTCGGCTTTTGCCATGTGAAGTCTGAGAACGAATACACCGCAGGAAGAAACAATTTCTGTTAATCCAGCCATGCTACTTCGTTGCTTCTTTGTGGCAACCTGCGCAAATGAAACAGGCCAGGGCATCTCAGATAGTTCAGGACTTTTTGCCTCCTGCCTTGCTGAGCGAATCACTAGGAAAGCTTGTAGCTCCAATTTGCTCCAATTACTTGTGGATTAAACAAGGATAAAAGGCCTAGGTTTCCAGCATCTGGGTGGGCTGCAATCCACGTGGCTTCATGAAGATTTTTTTAACGCAGGGGACCCTGGTTCGGGTCCCTGTGCCATCCATCCTATGACTTATGATCTAAAACTCCGGGCTCTTATTTTTCGGAAGCTGTCCTTCTCCGGCGAGCGCTTGTGCCAGATGGTAGGTTGCCGCTAATGCTTCTGGGTGCTCCTGGGGCCAGGGCGGACATGCCCCGAGCTTTCTGTCTTTCGGATGCAAACACAGAGCGAAGCACTGCATGCTAGAGTTTGGGATTTAGGCTTCGCAACACTCGAAGGCCAGAACTCAATCGAGCTAGATCCCAGAAAGTGAGGGAGTCAGAATAGTGCGAATGACAACCATAACTATAATCATAACAATAATCATAGCAGCGGTCCCAACAACAACAGTAATAACAAGAATAACAATAGTAACAGCATTTACAAGAACTACAATGATCACAATAACCACAATAAAAGTACTCAAAAGTAAGGACAATGCCCAACACTAAAAGTCAAACAAGAAAGATCTGGACGAGCCACCGAATCCGAGTGATCTAGATCACGAGAGCAAGACCCCAAAACTTAAAATCTCAATGCTTCTCACTTCTCTCCCTGTTTGCCTCTCATCCCCTCGCCTCGCCCAATCGGTCCACACGCTGGTAGGCTTGCCGGGCCAAGAGGAGGGCTGCTTTACCAACAAATGGCCTGGGATGTTTAGGGCCTAGGGCTTCTTAGTGGCCACCAGCTGAAAGCTTCAGGAGTTAAGATCGGCGGAGCTATTTGGGCTATTGGTTCCCCTTTGGGGTCGATGTTGGTTTGACTCTGCGCTTGCGAAGCGCAAGGCTGTTTTTGCAGGGCGCTCTACTAAGGCTTAGGGTTTAAAGTTTAGGGTCTAGCTGTTGAGTTTGAAAGCTACAGCAGAGAGCCTCTCCGCTGGAAGAGTGTACTGCGCTTACTGCTCCACTGTCGGTGGACCCTCCAACATGTCCTGCAGTGGTCGTGAGACCTCCAATATCTTCTAATGCAGTACAGCTGTACTGAATGTATTGCGAGGCGCTGATGGCACACGTCGCAAGTTCGGAAATTCCCCTGGTAGGTGCACCATTGTGCCAAGCATTCCGCATGAACGTAGCCAGACGAACCGCGGCAGGCACATGGGGACAGAAGTTCGTTCGCATCGCCGCTGGCTTCCAGACAAAGGCGGCAGGACATGCATTGGTATAACAGCCTCGCTGCTTTCACTAAGCTGCTCTGATTTGGGCCAACGCTTGCGGTATAAGGCAGCGCAAAAGCAGCTCAATGTGCATGCGAAATGTCAGTTGCCTCACATCCCTGAGTTCATCACGGAGCACATACCCGGAGCAGGCTGCACACCACGGTGAATGCCAGGGCGCAAACCCGCCGAAATCTTCGTGCAGGTAGACGCATCAAGAAATCATGAAGGGACGGACTTGCCTGCACCATCGGACTCAAACGGTGCATTCCATGTGAAGAATGCGAGCATGTTCGAACCGTTTGGCCCGAATCCTCAATGAGAGCTAGGAAGACCTCTTGTTGCAGTCCGCACACACATGAACACAGAGCGCAATGCTAGGACCTGGTACTGAACAGTGGCTTCCTCATGTTAGGAGGCATCACGGTTGATCTCAACGAAGCTGCGTTCCACTGTCATGGGCGACACGAAGTGCGGTCGTCGGCTGCTGTATGCACTAACGTGTTGGCACTCACTCAGGGGAAGGGTCCAAGCCCGACCGATGCAACGAGACTTGCGGCAAGTCCCAAAACACGGGTCTGAGCCCTGTGTGTCCCTGCTCTGTGTTTCCGAAACCCTCGGGCGAAAGTGCTGTAACTATATCTCACTATCGCAATCCGCATCCGAATCGTGGTGCACAGCGAACATGTCCACACGAATTGCTTGTGGCAAACCATGTGTGTTGAATCTTTATCAAGAACTCCGAGATCACTTGCTACGTGGACATGCCGCCTCATGAGGTTCAGCCCGCAGCCGGCTGTGGGTCCGGGTGATGGCTGGTCCCTGGCTAAAAGCCCAGGCACGACTCACGACTGAAAAATGAAGGGCAACACCTACGGCATACCTCTGCAACCTGCAGCCAGTTCAACCATACGGTCCCGCATCATATCTATGCCTGAACACTTCCGTCTTTCGAGCGGGTGAGCGTGTGGGCAGGCAGGCGGGTCACACGGCATCCCTCAGCCTACGAGCTCCCACAAAAAGACGTCGCTTCATCCGTGGGGCATGTGCTTTGCTGCCAGGTTGGCTATCCGTCGTTCAACTGACCTCTGAGTCTATTCTTGACATGTCGTGCGCTTGCATCGGCCCGCTCGGCATCGAACGGCGTTGGCATGTTTCGCAGTCCAGAGAGCGTGCGGCGTGATTCGAACAGTAATGTACAAGCGAAACCGAAGTTCCGGAATTGCGGTGGGCTCACCCGTGCAGCCTACTTAAGTGCGAACGTAAGACGTCCTGCCACATTGGCGCATGAAAAACAAACCCAACTATGGCCATTGATGTCCAATACGGGTGGCAGAACAAAACAACACTTGTGGAAGTAGCAGAAAGCAGTAGCTTGCGCGCGAGGGCCTCCAAAGCCGGGTGCCGCTGATAAAGGCGGTGCCGTGCTCAGGGTCGTTGAGCACCGCAAGCGGTCCACGTACCCAGAGCTCTGCAGCAGAGGACCTTAAGAGCTCGTTGTCCTGGGCTCGGAGGTTTGAGGGCGCTGGAATGGCGAGGCTGGCCACTTCGTGTCACCTGCTCGCAAAGAGCTCCGCCCGCTATCCGCCGCGGCCGCAGCGAGCTGGTCGAGTCGCGCGGACCTGCGAGCCTTGCCCTTGCACTTGGTGATGGGCCCAACGCACGGCGGGTTGCGTCGTTGCTGTGGGTTGATGACCTAGTCACCTAGTGACCTAGTCATCCTTGATCACAACCCCTTCAGACTTGAAGAACACTCTCACTGCCGTGAGGGTCTGGCCTCCTCAGTGACGATTCTCTTGTGACATCGGCCCTTACAAGTCTGGATTTCTTGTCGTAAGACACGCGCTTAGAACAGCGCTGACGAAGAACTCCCAAATTCTTGCAGGTCTCTTGCTGGACAGGCATGTGGGCCTCCCGGCTGTCCAACAGGGTGTGGTAAGTAGCCGCGATTGCGCAAAGCTCGAGCAAGGATTGTGGCGGCCGATGCCGCTGTGTACCCGTCCTCTACTGTCGCTGCCCAGCACGATGCCGCCATCCAGCACTGCCCAGCAACGTTGCTGGTCGGCAACTTGCCGCTGCCAGACCTCAGCTACCGCCGAGCCCAGCTTCCGCGCTGGCTTGGGGCTCTGCAAATCAACTTCGCTATGGGGTGTACAGGGGCTCGTGGGCGAACATCGGCGGCGATCGGGTCGGTGCAGACCACCCCGGCAAACCAGGCTCACGATTGTGGCGTGCACAGCGATTTGGGCACCGTGACAAATCGGGCAAGCCGTTGGCGACCACCTCAATGCGGCGTTTGTCGTTCGCAGGCACATCGAGGTTGAGGTCACGGAGTGCGACGTGTGAAGCCACCCGGCAAAGGGGCCGGCTCTGCACCATAGCGTGCCAACTTGCACGCAAGCTGAGCGATGGTCACCATACCCGTCCAAGCAACCTCCACGGGTAAGGCCTCGTCCTCGTCCGGCACCCAGGTGCCAGCACTCGTCGGAAGGTCCTGCGAATCCCAATCGCTTGCCTTTGCGCCCGCAGCCGTCGCCGACGTGGTCCCAGTAGGCCACAACACGTAGATGATAGTAAAATAGCCCCCGGCAGCGCAGTGGGACAGCCACCATCGGAAACACCACGCCCAAGTAACAGTCGTGACGCGCACAACGCACAAGTGCACTTGGAAGGCGGAACCTGAAATTGTTCTTTTTGTCCCTGCCAGCAATTCTTCCAAAGGCACTTCAATGTCGTCGAATGGGTACCCCTGCGTACGACGCGAGGGCCGTCCAGCAACGGCACCATGCTTGTTTCGCCCCGGCGCGAGCAGTCGCAGGAAGGTGAGTGTGCTGCGGCTGAAGTGCCCCCTGATCTCTGCGCCGAAGATCTGCGCGCGGGGGAAACGCTGGGAGGTATTGGGCTCACGATTCACCTTTTGCGTTGCAGGACCTGTAAGGCTACAACGGTCACATGCATGTGATCATGTCGTTCATGACGTGGTTCGTGGTGCATGTACAACACTCAAGCATATTCAAGCTGCTTGGTTGACACACGAGTACGCTCGTAAAACGTAAAACAGTTCTCTTGGTGTTGACGATGCAACGTCAGTGAACACAAGGGGTGAAAGTCGTTAGCGTTCGAAAGCACTGACGCCTGAACGCGGCGAGACTTCCCTCGAAGACCTGAGCCTGAGGCAACGCTTATGCGATGGGACCCTCATGGCACAAATGGGCCGGCACAAATGGGCCGCACAAATTTGTATTGCGCGCGCGGACAACAGCAAAATGCCAAGCACTG